TGGCCACTTGGAAGTGGTGCGGGTGTTGCTCGAGGCTGGAGCTGACCAGAACGCAGCAAAGCAAAATGGGGCAACCGCCTTGATGGTTGCAGCTGGCAATGGCCACCCGGAAGTGCGACAGCTGTTGCTCGAGGCTGGAGATCGCACCTTCCGCACGGGGAGACTTCGCAGTGAGACTCCTCCAGATCCGGGTCGTGATCGACCAGACCGCTCGCGATCGCGATAGACCGAAAAAACGAGACTGTCTATCTTGCACCGGAGTTGGAAGACGTCGCAGTTCCCACAGAATCCTCTCCCATTCCGCAGCCCCACGTCCGGCGTTGCTGTTGATCCGGCGGCTATCGCAGGATCCGAGAGACTGGCCTGTGCGGCGGCTCCGTGAGGAGCTCCGGAAAAGGGGGCAGGCAGATGCAGGCGGGAAGCTGGCAAGAGAGGTGAGGGAACCGGGGCGTTCTCCGAAAGGACGAGATCACGTTCCTGGGAAACACGTCGTTCTCCGCGATCCGCGAAGCATCTTGAAGTTCCCGTTTGGGGAACTGGAGGGGGGGGTGGAAGGACTGAAGACTGTTTGCCATCGGGCCCAAAGGACTTGGGAACTCGTAACATTTTTGAGGGTCGAATTCGGTGAAGATAGGGAGGACAACCGTCCGGGGCCCAAAGCAGAGGCAACGCATGGGTTGACTCGATATTTTGAATGCGTTTACTCCCTTTAGTTTGAAGTTCTTTGGTGGTAGGTCACTTTGTATTGTGGATCATATTTTGGAATGTTGGGAATTGTTGGCAAACGACATGAATTCGATTGAACTGACGAGAGTCACAGATGTCAGCAACGATGGTTTGTTATCAATACGATGTCACTAACGTCAGGATGCAAGGGTTTGCAGCCAGCCAGCACACATGAATATGTCATCTGTAATGTTTTTAGACTATAACTATGTACGTATCAGCGCACCTGGTCAATCATCAGTAGGTCCTATTGCAGCACGTTGAAAGATTCTTGGCCAGAAGCTTCCACAGGATGTATGGATATCAGAACGAAGTGTTCTGAAGCTG